TTTATTCAATGGCAGTTGGATTTTGTCAAATGCTTATTCTGCATCTATTATAGTGATCATGTGATTTTTCTTCTTTAGCCCCTGTGATGAATTACACTAATTTATTTATAAATGTTGAACCGGGCTTGCATACCTTGGAGAAGTCTCACTTTCTAATAGTGTACATTTATTTTTATACATTTCAGTTTTTGATTTGCTAATATTTTGTTGAGGATTTATACATCTATGTTCATTAAAGTTATTGGTCTGTAGTTTTCTGGTAATATCTTCCTATGGTTTTGGTCATAGATAATGCTGGATTCATAGAATGAGTTAAGAAGTATTCCTTCTGCTTCTATCTTTCTTTTTTTTCCCTCCTGCTTCTATCTTCTTAAAAAGATAGATAATTAGTATAATTTCTTTTTTAAATGTTTGATAGAATTCATTGGCCCATCTGTGCCTGGTGCTTTTTGTTTTTGAAGGTTATTGATTATTGATTTAATCTCTTTAATAGATATAGGACTACTCACATTGCCCATTTCTTCATGTGTGAGACTGTGTCTTGGAAGGAATCAATCCATCTCATCTAGGTCATCAAATATGGACATACGGTTGTTCATAGTATTCCTTTATTATCTTTTTAATGTCTGTGGATCTGTAGTGATGGCCTCTCTTTCATTTCTCCTATTGGTAAATTGTGTCCTCTTTCTCTTTTTCTTATTTAGCCTGGGTAGAGACTTACTGATTTTATTAATCTTTTCCAAGAACCAGTTTTTGGTTTGGTTAATTTTCTCTATTGATTTCTTATTTTCCATTTTGTTTATCTCTGCTCTAATTTTTATTTCTTTTTCTTCTGCTTACTTTAGATTTAATTTTCTCATTTTTAATTTAGTTACCCGGGGTTAAAGCTGAGGTGATTGATTTCAGGCTTTCTTCTTTTATAATATACACATCCAATGTTCTGTATTTACCTCTAAGCATTGCTTTCACTGGATCTCACACATTTTGATAAGTTGTGTTTTCATTTTCTTTAGTTCAAAGTCTTTCTAAATTTCTCATTATATTCCTGCTTCTACTTATGTGTCATTTAGAAGTATGTTGTTGAATCTCTAAGTGTTTTGGGATTTTCCAGCTATTTTTCTGTTACTGAGTTTTAGTTTAATTACACTGTTGTCTGAGAACAGACATTGCATCATTACTACTCTTTTAAATTTGTTCAGGTATGTTTTATGGCCCAGAACACGGTTCATCCTGGTGAATGTTCTATGTAACTTTGAGAAGAATGTGTGTTCTGTTGTTGAATAAAGTGGTCTACAGATGTTCATTACATCCAGTTGAAGGATGGTGTTGTTGAATTCAGTAATGTTCTTATGGATTTTCTGCCTGCTGGATTAGTGCATTTCTGACAGAAGGGTGCTAAAGTCTCCAACAATAATCATTGATTCATTTATCATTTATTTCTCATTCTTTGGTTTATCACTGAATTTGATACTCTGTTGTTAGGTGCAGACAAATTAAAGGTTGTTATGTCCTCCTGAGTAATGTACCCCTTTATCAGTATGTAATGGCTTTCTTTATCTCTGACAATTTCCTTTGTCTAAAGTCTGCTCTGTCTGAAATTAAGATAGCTATTCCTGCTTTCTTTTAATTAGCATTAGCATGGTATGTCTTTCTGTATCCATTTACTTTTAATCTACATGTGTCTTTATATTTAAAGTGTGTTTCTTGTAGATGACATATGGTTGAGTCTTATTCATTCTGACAATCTCCTTCTTTTAATTGTTATATTTAGACCACTGATGTTTAAAGTGATTACTGATATATTTGGATTTAGTATCTGCCATATTTACTACTGTTTTCTATCGATTGCCTTTGTTTTTTGTTACTATTTTGTCTTGCACTCTTTTTCTGCTTTTATATTTCTACTGAGCATTTTATATAATTCTATTTTTTCATTTCTTAGCATATCAGCTATACTTCTTTATTTTCCCTTTTTATAGTGGTTGCCCTTAAATTTTGCAATATACATGAACAATTAATTCAACTCCACTTTCAAACAATGGTATTTCACATCATGAGTAGTGTGAGTACTTCACAATAATAAAATGATCCTAATTCTTCTCTCTGGTCCCTTGTATCATTGTTGTCATTAATTTCATAAATATATTAGTATATATTAATATATACAAATACACATTGTTATTAATACTCTGAACCAATTGTTACCTATTAGATCAATCAAGACCACAAAAAATAGAAGTTTTAATCTTTCCTCCACTTATTCCTTCACCAATACACTTCCTTTCTTTATGTAGACTTGAGTTTCTGACTCTTATCCTTTTTTTTTTTTATCTCTAATGAACATCTTTAATATTTATTGAAAGGCAGGTCTACTGGCAACAAATTTCCTCAATTTGTGTCTGAGACTGTCTTAATTTTCTTTTCTCTTTTGAAGAATAATTTCACAGGGTGCAGAATTCTATGTTGGTGTTTTTTCTCTCTCAGTACTTTAAATATTTCACTCCACACTCTTCTTGCTTGCATGATTTCTGAGGAGAAGCTGCATGTAATTCTGATCTTTGTTCTTTTATAGGTAAGGTGTTTTTTCCTTCTGGCTTCTTTAATGACTTTTCCCTTTATTTTTGATTTTCTGTTGTTTAGAAATTATATGTTCAGGTGTAGATTTCTGTTTTGTTTTTTTTTTTTTTTGCATTTATTCTTTTCGGTATTCTCTGAGCTTTCTGGATCTGTGGTTTGGTATCTGACATTCATTTGGGGGAAATTCTCAGTTATTATTGTTTCAAATAATTCTTTTATTCCTTTTTTCTCTTTCTTCTCCTTCTGGAATTTCCATTATGCAAATGTTACACCTTTTGTAACTGTTTTTTTATCCCTGGATTTTTTATTTCTTGGATATTCTCTTCTATTTTTTTTCAATCTTCTTCTCTTAGCCTTTAAGTTTTGGTGGTTTTTAATAGCTATACTCTCAAGCTCAGAGATTCCTTCCTCAGCCATATCCAGTCTACCAATAAGCCCATCAAAGGCATTCTTCATTTCTGTTACACTATTTTGATCTCTAGCATTTATTTTTCATTCTAAGAATTTCCATCTCTCTGCTTATCTGTTCTTGAACACTGACTACTTTATCCATTAGAGCCCTCATCATTGTAATCATATTTGTTTTAGATTTCCAGTTTGATAATTCTAACATCCTTGTCACATCTGAGGCTGGTTTTAATGTTTTCTCTGTTTCTTTAACCTGTTTTTGCCTTTTAGTATTTCCTTTTTTTTATAACTGGACATGATATGCTGAGTAAAACAAATGGATGTAAGTAGGTCTTTAGTAACTTGGTGGTAAGGTTTAGGGAGAAGGGAAGCATTTCGTGTTATGGTTAGGTCTCAGTCTTCCAGTGAGCCTGTGCCTCTGGATTCCGAGAAGACTGAGAAACACTGAGAATCTCACCATGCTTCTCAGTCTTCTCTGTCCCCTTTCATGGGACGGGATGGCTAGAGTAGGCTGGAGTTGGGTGTTTCCCTTCCTTCAGGTTGGTTAGTCTCTGACAAAACCTCATCTGGTTAGGTTTTTGGTATTTAGTTTCTCCTGAGGGAAGACTTTGTTAAGAGGAATAGAATGCTCTGGTGCATTTCAAAATGGTTCCTTTTCCCCTTCCCTGCTGGAAACACTAGGGGATTTTTCTCCAATATTTCCTGTGAGAACCTGGTTGAGCTCCTGGAGGTAAGACTCATAAAAATAAGGGGCCTCCCAATGACTGCGTCTCCCTAGAGTTTTTATTTCTTAGACTGATCCATGCTGAGCATCCAGTAATTCCTCGGTTACTGTCCAGGTTCTGTACTATGGTTGTGATTCCTGGGGGAGTTTATGCTTCAAGGTTTTTGCTTCAACAAGTCATGAATCTTTGCATTTGCCCATTTCTCTAATTTGAGTGGAGTGGTTTGCTCTGTGACCCACTTCTATGATGGGTCTAGAATGGTTACTAATTTTTCAGTCTGTTCAGCTTTTTACTTTTGTTTGGATGGAGTGGACACTTCCAGCTCCTTACATGCCAGACTGCAACTGGACGCACCTGAAACTTCTTAAAGTGCATATGACCTGTTGATGCCTCTTTTGTGAGTGACTAAGTATATACACGTGATCCATATACCCCAAGATGTAGGTAGAGGGTAAGAGAGGAAGAAGAGTGATTGGATTCCTAAAACCACAGAGAATTAGAATGAAACAGTTAGAATTGTAAATATCTTTGTGTGTCTGAGCAAGTTCCACTGCAATTTTGGAGTATTAACCAAGAAAACAATCATACTAGAAAATGCAGAATATAGTACCAAGATATCCAAAAAGAAGGAATCTCTAATCAAGATTTTATTTACTTAATTCAATGAAAATTTTAATTTATACTATGTGGGGAAAATACCATTATCCCTTATGCCATTTTCTTTGTGGTTGTAGTAGATAGATAGTTAAAACTATAGGAGACTAATTTTCATTAGTTTACATAATAAATTACTGGCCAAACTATTTAAAGATTTAACAAATATTGCTAAAAAAATTAATACTGAAAAACTAATATCTGGAGAAAAGATATTTTAGATGCAATAAATAGCTATATGAAATTCATTTTGAATATTAAAGTTCTACACAATGTCTTCTGGAACAGCAATTCTCAGACTGTGATTAACAGACTAGCAGCAATAGCATCACCTGAGAACTTAATAGAAATGCAGATTCTTTGGTTCTATCCAGGCCAACTCAATCATACACTCTGGGAGTTGGGATCTGGTCATTTGTATTTTAACAAGCCCCCCAGAAAATACTTCTAGAGAAGTATTTTCCAGCCATATTTGAATTACCTGGAAGCTTAAAATAATTAGTCACTGGTTTCCAATTAAATCAGAATCACAGGATGTGGGACCCTTTATTATGGGTCTTTTTAAAAACCCTCCTCATTTGATTACAATGTGCAGTCAGGTTTGAGAACCACTGCCTGAGAGACAGGCCCACTTACTTCAGGAGTCTTTGCTAGCAAAAGTCTGGTGGGGGTGGGGGTGTCTGGGTCTGCTGGGCCAGTGACTCTGACTCTGCTCCTCTTCACTGTTGCTTTGCACCTGTAACCAAGAACCCACAGAACTCAGCCAGAGCCAAGGGGGAAAAGGGGTAAGGAAAAGTGCAGGTGGTAGGTTGCTCTAGGGGAAGGAGGCTGAGTGTACTTGAGAGACAGCCTCTTCTGTGGTGTTAGGGAGAAAGGCAGGAGCTGAGGTGTGGTTCTACATTCAATGAGAGGTGACATACATGCAAATGATATTTCAAATAATCACAGCTTCTTTTTGTGGCAAGGATTTAAAAGCTTTTTAAAGAGATCCCAACATTTCATGGAAGTACCTTCATTAGACCCAGGCAAGAAGAGTTCTGAGTTTTAGAGCATCCATACAGTGACGAGCTGGTGGACTTAGAGAATATGCCCACCTAGTCCTGCACTATTCCTTCTAGAACATTCTTTGGTTACCCCGAATCACAACGTTTGCTGGTTAAATGGCCCCAAGCCAGTGGCAGGAATGTGCACTGGTTTTGCCTGATGACTGTTCTCTCGAGGGCTGACCTCTCCAGGAGTGTATGCAGCCTAGGCCCAAAAGATGACCAATGGCTGTTTGTGTAGGTGGGAGCTTGTGGCATTTGGATGTGCAGGCCCAGGTGACCAAACATGGACATGCAAGGTCCCTTATGGTATAGGATGGATCTGGGCACGGGAAGAGAAGGGGACAGGTCAGGAGCTGTGGAGTGGTTCTGCTCACACTGTCACGTTCTAGCACAGAAGTCCTAAGAGTCTGAGACTCCTAGATTGAAATCTGGACTTCTAGATCTTTATGATTAGATACTTGTCAAGGTAAGGGAGAATGTATTTCATTTAAGAGTGTTCAGCTTTGTGTAAAACTGTCCTCCATTTGTACTCTTATGAGGACCAGAGCAAATGGCAATGACAGGTGTACTTACTGAGAACGTTTAATGGTGATCAGATCAGGTAAGTATTACCAAAGGAGCTCTGAAAACTCAACTGCTCTTAGGAAACCAGGCCTATTTCTCTTTCTCCCTGTATATTAACCCTGAATTCAATTCAGAAAGTGGTATATCTGGGTAGGATAGGAAGCCTGGATTTTTTTTCCTCCCAAGGGTTCTAACCCCTTCATCTTCTGGGAAAGAATCTACAGCCTTTCTCTGCTAGTCTCTCCCTCACTTCCAACCCACTTACCTCCTCCATGTACAAAGTGTCCTGTGGCTGCTGGGTTAAAGATCGATGCAGTTCTGGTCTTTCTACACTCTCCTTCCATTTCTGCTGGATGATGGACAGGTCCAAGGACTTAACCTTCCTGCCCATGAGATTCTTCTGGCACAGGTTCTTTCTTGCTCCGCTCTTTCTTTTCCAGAAAGTCTCATCCTTGTCTGAATGGGTTTCTGGATTGGTGGCTGGTAAACTACACAGCTCTCTCCCTATCTGAGCTGGGTCTGTGCTCCACTGTGGATCTGCTATGGGCAGAGAATGTGTGCAACAGGGTACCCTGGGGTTCGAATCCAGAGTTTGTGATGGTGCTAGAACTGTGGACATCCCCTGCTGTGTTTCCTCTCTGCAGCGGAGGACACATGAACAGGGAGAAGTGGGCAGCTTTGTACCCTCAACAGGGGGCACAGGATCTTCCTGTGGGAATTGCCCCAAATCAGAGTCTTGCTGGAGTACCTGCTTCTCTTCTTTCACTTTGTCCATTGCTTTGGATACAACTTCATCCAAACTGTTCTTTCTGGGGGTGTTGTGGGGTGGTGGTGGTGGCCGATCTCGAGGGCATGTGTACAGGCACATCTTGGAGATGGCTTTCCGAAGGCGGTCTCTGGGTGAGTGGGGTTCAGGCTCTCGGGACAGAATCCTGATGGATGGCACATCAGTTGGATGGTTGCAATTCCAGAACATATGGGATGGTGTGAACTTTTGGACAGGTGTCTTAGACACATAGGAGTAGAGACAGAAGAAGGCATCAGCAGTGACAGCCAGTGTTTGCACCTGCTTAAACCTGCCTGGGTACAAGAGTTAAAGATGGTGAGTCTGGGGTTCATGCACAAATTTTCTTAAATATCTCCCTTCAGAAGCCTCCCCAAAGCTAAAAATTCAGGGAGAAGCTTCCAATGTTCCTGCTAGTGTTTCTCCCTTTTAGATTTCTACACCCAGGGTTCCTTTTCCTGAATTTCTTGACTTCTTGACACCCCATCCCAAGTAGATATTCCAACTGGGAAATAAAAAAGAGGGATAAGATTTATCGACATCACGCTGATATGATTCACCAAAAAGGCACAAAGGCCTAAAGGAAGCAGTAGTGGTCTGAAGTCTCTTGATGGCTATTTCTTTAAGAGAAAGAATCAGACAGTTCTCCATCTTCACTGAAGACAACATAAGAGGAAACAGACACAATAGGCAGAGGGTCAACCCTCTTTTCTAACCAAGAGAAAGCAGGATTTGGAGCCACTGTGCCCTGCTGTGAAAGTCTAAAGGTTAAGGGAAGTAGAGCAGGTGTCTGGGGGGTACACTTACTGGCCAGCATGAGGCAGGGGTCTTCCATTTCAATCCTCCGCACCTGAGACTTCAGGAAGAGCTGGAAATCAATGCCCCTGGCGTGAGAGGGGTTGGTGAAAAATCGGGCGGGTATCCGAGAAGTGTCTTTGCGGTCCTCTTGGGCAAAGCCCAGACTGAAGAGGACATCTTCTGCATCTTCTTGCACTTTGTCCAGAATCTCTGAGATGCTGAAATGAGGGAGTTTGGGTAAATAAGGGACAATTTTGGGACCTATGGTAATTCAGAATATCTAATAAAAGTGTCAGTAGACTGAAACTCTTTTCTGTCCATTTCTATACTTTTCACTGTGACTTAAGCAAAGTGTTCACTTCTCTGAACCTAAATTATCTGTCTGACACATGGAACTACAGTCCAACTTTAGTTCTAAAAACTGAATAAGATTTTAGTACAGTGCTTTGAACAACTTATTGCAGATGAATAAAAATTTAAGTAAATATGAAAGGATTTTGAAAAATGAAGATCAGTACAGATATGAGTAAGTGTCCTGGTTGCACCATTAAGTACTCAGTTCCCAGATTTGCCATCTGACTTGCCCCCGTGGTTGTTGTGTGGGACTAAGCAATGAATGTGTGAGGAACATAGCACCCCTGAAGGTAAACATTTTTATTCTTGACCTGAAAGCCAAAAATAGTAAGTACATCTAAAATCTGATTTTGAGAGGTACACTCCTTTCTAGCACTATTTTCAGGACAGAAGTCCTGTGTCACAGAAGATTGTGTGCACGTGCTCTCTCTCTATGGCATCAACCTGTATTTATGTCTAAATCAGATTGCCACCAAGCTGGGTGACACTAGAGCTTAGTAACTGTATTTCAGTGAGGCTAAGGGAAGCTCTTATTGTTTGAGGCTTTGAATAATCACTATCACTCTCTTCAGAAAGTATGTTGGGCTTTTTGATCAAATAGGGACCATCTTGTTTCACTAAGAGCTGGACAGTCGGAATCCCTGGATCTACTCTCGTGCTTGTCAGCCTAGTGATCATTTTATTTTCATGGTCCTAAGTTTCCCTATCTGTGAATTGTGGTCATAAGACTGGTTCAGTGCTTCCCAACCATGGCTACATGTTAGGGTCACCTTTATGGGCTTTAAAAATGCATATATTTGAATCCCTTCTCAGATTTAATTGAAGTAGGGTATGGTTAGGGCTAAGGCTCAGTGAGGATAAGTTACTAAACATGGTCATGTGATAAAAATTTAAGTCTCAGAACCAGTTCTCAAATTCAAATTTTGACTTCAATTCCAGATACTTTTCATTATATCATACTAGTTTTCATGACTTTTCATCTTTTTTAAAGAGTTATTTCTATGTAGATTTTGTACACTCCCTTAAATCATTGAGCTCCTAGGTTCAAGCATCTTTTTAATTTTTAAGTTCTGGGGTACATGTGCAGGATGTGGAGGTTACATAGGTAAATGAGTGCCGTGGTGGTTTGCTGCACCTATCAACCCATCACCTAGGTATTAAGCCCCTCATACATTAGCTATTTTCCTAACGCTCTCCCTTCTCTCGCCCCATCCCCCAACAGATCCCAGTGTGTGTTGTTCCCCTCCCTGTGTCCATGTGTTTTCATTGTTCAGCTCCCACTTATATGTGAGAACATGCAGTGTTTGGTTCTCTGTTCCTGTGTTAGTTTGCTGAGGACAATGGCTTCCAGCTCCATTCATATCCCTGCAAAGGACATGAACATATTCCTTTTTATGGCTGCATAGTATTCCATGGTGTACATGTACCACATTTTCTTTATCCAGTCTATCATTGATGGGCATTTGTGTTGATTTCATGTCTTTGCTGTTGTGAATAGTAGTACTGCTTCATCTTTTCAAATTCCATGCAGTCATTGCCTGGCCTGCCTGTCTGAGTGATGTATTGTTTTATTGCTTCATTCAATCAAGAAATTAGTCAACTAATCAATACATTGTTTACTGAGCACCTACTATGTGTCTGGGAACTGTGATAGTACCAATACTATACCTCCTGGGGTACAAGTTTCAGTGGGCAGAGACACCTGTATTTTACACATAGTATTTAGCTCTGAGAAGATTCCACTGCATCCTCCACAATCTTGAAATAAATATGGTCACATTTTTCAAGTATGCAGAAAAAGTGTATAAAAGCTTCAGTAAGATACCCCAGAAAAAATAGGCAATGGCTCTTGGTCGAATTCTCCTATGCTTCTCATCGTCACCTTCCACCCTGCCAAATTTAGTACCTACCTTGAGCTAGTCCTGTTGGTCCCCCCAGTCATGCTGCTGGAAGCCAAACTACAGCCAAGATCAAGTAGCTGGCAAGGCCTGGCTGTCTCGAGGAAACTCCTGCAGAGATCAAAGCTGATGTCATACAAATCTTGTTTCCAGTCTGCACCCTGGCTTCAAGGAATCCCTGCTGGGCTTATTTACCCCCTGATGGGTACATTTTAGTCTATGCTGTGGTTGCTGGTTATAAAGTCCCGTTCTCTAATGTGAATCTTTAGCTCTTTGTTTAAATCTCTTTGACCTACTCCAATTCACTGATTCTTGAAGGAGACATCATTCAGCCTGGCTGAACCTAACACTTACCTGGAAAAGAGTTTGCCATTGGCTGCCAGCAGTGTGGCTGGACAAGAAACAGAGAAACAAAGAGAAAATTAGAAGGGAAAATGAAAATCACCTGTGTTGCTCCTCTGACCTTAAAGTTAAGTCCCCTCTGTTTCCTTTTGCCACTATGGCGGGCTAGCTGAACCCATACATTCTGCTCTTCTTAGGGCCTCAAGATTACCTAACACAGTTCTGGAATAGGGACAGATATGCCAGAGACAAACTGGCCTCGTGCCTCTGAACTTCTTACCCATGACTGATGTCTAGACAAGAGGCCCTCTTTCCTAAGGAGAATAGAGTCATTCAGCCCTCCTGGGTAGTGTTTCCTTCACCCTACACAAGTCTTTACAGGTCCCAGGAGACACTGGTAGGCTGCTGTGATTTCATTCTTTACTGATGCCCTTATCCTCCTGCAGTACAGTCTCTCTGCTACACCCAATGCACAGACTTGTTTGGAGTTTCTGTACAGAAAACCAACTTAAAGATATCTGGCAGCAAATGTTATAATAATTTTATATGTTATCTTCCCAGGGGCCAAAGGAAAGTTCCAATGATGAACCAGCAGGAGTCATGATAGGCTGATGAGGAAGTGTTTCTGGGCATAAGATGTCTTCTGTATTTTACATTAGATCATAATGAGACTGCCCTTTTCCTACAGTTAAGACCCCAGGGATGGGCTGTTTCTTCCTGGAGTTTTGTACTTCCATCTTATCCTGAATTAATCCAGTGTATATCCTGTTTTCTTTTCCCAGTCTCAGAGAACTGTGCCACTTACCCTCTGCTCCTAGGGTCAAGTCATCTTCAAAGCTGGTCCCATGGCTGCAGAAGCCTGTCAAGTAATCAGGTGAGGGTCACAGAAAATCAGGATGGAACATATACACATGCACACACACACACCCTTGCATACACGAACATCTTCACATACCTTTAGACTAGATTTGCACAACCACATCATCATATTAGATATCCACATGTTTGTAGAATTACCACAAACTGTACATATACCACCTCAGAAGTTATATTCATTTTTGATTAAGAAAGATTCATGCATACTGTAACTTTTCCCCTATATCATATAGTTATGTACACAATCCCCTGCCAAACAGCAAACACATGGGCATGTGCACTCGCACCCATATAAACACATATTTTATAAAATTCTTTTGCTATAGCAGTGGTTGTTATCTGAGCAACTACTAGCAGAAGACAGCCTTTGACTATCAGTGAGTCTGTGGGCTCTGAGCCAGCACTTTCTTCTTAATTTCCTGGAGCCTTGTGACCACAAACAGTGTTTTGCAGCCAGTTTAAGAACACTCAGGCACTCTTTTGCCGGCCTATGCGTGTATATGTGCATAAACACTCACGTACAAACACACTTACACACAGGTATATCACTCTCCAGGTAGAAGAACAATAGAAGGACAGAACATATACTCACCATTGCAGATAAACTGTCCTGCTTCCTCAGAAAGTCCTTCTTCAGCGTATCTAAACCAAAAACAGTCTTATAGGTTGAAGTTACTTATTACATTTTTCTAGAAGCTTTTTCATGGAAAAAGCTCCCACATGTTCATATTCTTTTCCCATGAGAGTCAGTAGTATTTAATTTGCTTTTATATTGGAGAAAACGAGGACAGAGTGGTTACTGGACCAAAACTTTTATCAAAGTAGTTGGGAAAACGGGGGCTGGAATGCTCTGTTTTACATTGTGCTTCTGTTGTCCTGGCCACAGGATTAAAGGACAAAAGTCAGCTTAGCAATGATTCTTTCGTCTTTAGGCAAAACAGGAAAGAAAGAACATTGAAGCAAAACTGGAGAATTACATTTGTAGAAGCCAGGGTTTGCTTGTCATAATTTTCAAATCACAAATATAAATATCAAGGTTTTCTTAAAACTTTTAGATCACCTTAACTACCACACTTCCTTCCTTCTCTCTGAACCATGTTATTGCCGAAAATCATGTCTTTCAAAAAAAGCAGAAACCGTATCCTGGTTAGAAACATTTTAAAATTTTGAGACACGGTCTTATCAAACAATTACCATCTCCACCAGAAGAACAGATGGAAATCAGCACAAATAGTAGTGAAAGACAGCTCAGTTTTACAAACAAGGAAGAAATGCTCTCTGTCCAAAACAGGTGTGTGAAGTAATCTGACAAGACTTTGACACGGGACCAGCACATCTAGATTCGCATCCTGGCTCATTGTGGCTGTTTTGTTCTTAAATATTATGTAAGGGAATTTGGATCCCTAGATATTTATAATCATCTAAGTCTACTTCAAGCGCTGAAGTGTTGTGAGTTTTGTAGAGTTTGCTTTCCTAAAGCTTTTTACATGGAAGTTGTTCAAGGTGCTGTAAACGCAATCTCAAGTGGAGGTTGGAGGGGAAAAGGGTCGGTAACGTGAGTTAGCAGGGAAACGAGTGCACCCACTGTTGCTGGTCCTAAATGAGGTTTTCTCTTTCTCAGTCTCCAGCAATCCAGATTACTCTCAGACTACTGGAGCGTCACCTCATGGAGTGTGTAACAGTGGGAATGGGCTTACTAGCCAAGATATCTGTAGATCAAGTTCTGCCTAAATTTTACAAAATAAGTCATTACCTATGTAGACATCTTTTGCTTGTAACTCCTTTCAATAGTTTAAAAAAAAACCATGTTTACCAAAATCTGAATTTTATATGGCCTTATGAAAAATGCTACATCAAAGGTTCATTGTATAATGTAAAATAATGAGCAAGCTAGTTAAGAAAAGATAACTTGAATAATGCACCCAGAACTACAAATATATTTTTCTGTTCCTAATATATAATTACATAAAATATGTTGTGGTATAATACTACAAACATATGTGTAACTATATATAATAGTTACTATTACTACTAACAAATAGCATGATAACCAGTATAGTCATGTACTGGAATATTGCAATTTACTACTGCATTTAATGCTTGTGTTGTAGCTGCACAATAATGCAACTACTAAGGCCCACTGTTACTAGCAGTACAATTTAAATAGACTACAACTCCATTTCTAGGTTGTACCCAATGGACATACCTGTATATGTTCCCCCAGGTAAATACTAATCATGATACCAAGAAATGGAAGCCTCCAAATCCCTACTTATTATAAAATTAAACAATTAAATAATAACCATACAACTTAATATTACATAATAATAGAAATGGACTTACTGCTGTATGTGAATACATGGAGAAGCATCATAAACATAATGATAAGCAAAAGAAACACACATAAAACAGCACATGTCATCATATGACTCTACTTCTATAAAGTTCAAAATGATCCCAATCATATCTATGATGTTACAGGTCAGGGTATTTGTTACCTGAGGCAGGATAGTGAATGGAAGGGATGGAAAGCAGCATTTGGAGTGCTGGTAATGCTCTGCTTCAGGTTTCATGGGTGTATTCTCTTTGTGAAAATTCACTGAGCTATTGATGTATTTATTTATTGGCTTATTTATTTATTGACAGGGTCTCACTCCATCTCTCAGGTTAGAGTGCAGTGGCATAGCTCATTGTAGCCTTGAACTCTTAAGCTCAAGGGAGCCTCCTTCCTCAATCTCCTGAGTAGCTAGGACTACAGGTGCTGCCATGCCTGGCTAATTTAATTTTTTTTTTTAGAGAGAGATGGAGTTGTCCAGGGTGGTCTTGAACTCTTGAGCTCAAGCAATCCTCCTGCCTTGGGGTCTCAAAGTGCTAGGGTTACAGGCATGAGCCATGTGCCTGGCCTCAGCCATTTATTTAATACTCATTTATTTTTCAGTGAGTATATTATACTTCAGTATAATTTATAGTTTAAAAAGTTACTAATATGTAGGCTGAACTTCAATAAAATTTACATTTAAAATGTCACTTACAAAATTTCCTGTTTTTTCCAAAGCAAAACTAACTTGTATTCATTGGATACAAATTTTTCCTGGGTGCTAACCCTACATTTCTCTTTTTTAGTTACACTCCACCAGGTATTTCTATTCTCTTTATGAGTAACAGCCCATGATGAGTCTTGGGCAGTCTGTGGAACCTACAACAGCAGGGTGGACATGGGCCTGGATTTATTGGTGCTTTCTCACTGAGCATGACGATTTGAGACTTTATGGCCATCACTCAAGTCCCAGACCTTCCCTGGGTTATTGCATAGGTCATAAAATCAATGACCAGGGACTAGATTGATAGCTGCTCCCCTCTTCCCACCCTTGCATTAAAACATTCCCCAGCATCATTTTAAGTCTCAAACGAAGTTGCTAAGGTATTGCTCTTTCTGTATACCCAATTCATAAACAAATAGTAGGGAGGAGGGTTTGGATTGTGGGAAAAAGTATATGGCTATTTTTAGCTTCTTCTAGATGTTTCCATAGATACCTGCCTGCAGAGATTTAAGCTGAAGCCCACACAGATGATTTTTGGGCTCCCAACCCCACCTCTGGTGATTCATGAGCAACACAGTCATGTCCCAGAAAATCCTGAGAGCTAGGGAGAGAAAGAAAAAAAGAGAGGCATAGTTTGTAAAGACATGCATGATGTGATCCTGTGGCAGAACAGCCTGCCACCAGATTCAGTTGCACTGAGAAACATGGACACTAAATTGCCTGAGATGTTGGAGGACTCTCCTGGAGAACTTGTCAGAAAAGAAAATGCTCTTGCTACCACAGGGGGTTTGGCTTTGGGAAGAAAAATGGAAACTGGATGGTCTTGGAACAAAATTTGAAAAGTGCCTCCCAGGGTACCTGGCAACAGAGTGGACAGATAACCAGTAAATGTGGGCTACTTGTTCATTCTCTTTCCTTTGTTGTCATGGAGCCTAAGCATGGAATACCATGGTAGTTCAGAATCTCATATTTAGAATGCGTCTTCCCTCCATCTTCTTCCTTATCTATTACCAAAAGTCAAGTGTACTATCACTACCAATCATTGTCATTATCATCCTTTAATTTTTCTAGCTTTTCCATGTAATTAAAAACGATTACACACTTATTAGACAGAATTTTAAAACAGAGAAAACTGGAAATTTTTCTGAATCTAACAATTCCCCTTCCAAAGACAACTCTGCAGGTATATTGATTAACTCTTTATGGCTGGTTCGATGTTTAAATATTTCAAACCTTTTCAAAACACAGACACATAATGGAAATGTAACAGACACGCTTGCACCAGTAACTCTATTTTCACATATCTAAACATTTTGCCATATTTGCTTCGGAAAAAATAAAATGTTAAGTTATATATAATATAAAATAAAAAATTAAATATTAAATATATAACTAAAGTCTTATTTTACTTCCATTCTTTGCTACTCTTTTCCTTCCTCCAGGCAATCACTATCCAAGAGTTAACATGTATCATTTCTGGGCATACTTTTTCTGATTAAAAAAACAGATGTAGATAGATGGATAGACATATACAGACATGTTGTGGAATTATAAGTAGGTATAAACTCCTCCTTTATAAAACTCACCAGTCATTCTCTATTAAAAGCATAAAGCACATACACATATATAATCTCATTTAAACCTCACAAGAACCCTTAAACTGTATTATTCTAAGTGTCCCACTTCATAGCTCAGGTATCTACAATGAACAGAATTTAAGTTATTTGCTTATGGTTACACACTTAGTAGCACAAGAATTAGGCTCACATCTTGGAGACTTTTCACTAACCAGACCACTTTTTGTCATAAATTTTGGTTCAGGTTTGGTTCTATCTTTGTAGAGCACGAGTGAAGAAAGACAATTTCTAGAGTTTATTATCTTGTATATCTGTGAATTTATTCTTTTCAATTAGAATGAAATATGTTCTAACTCAAGAAGCATATTTTAACCTACTTGGTACCCCTCTAGGTTATTCAGATAATCAGACAGTTAACAAAAGCGTAATTAATTGTTGACATGAATTGATGACTCAAGAGTAGTTAATGAGATAAAGACATTAACTGAGCTGACTGTTTCCCCTGTACATATCTGGTAAAGCATTTTAAATCCTAGGACAGTTCTCATCCTAGGCTTCTTACCCAAACCTGCAAACATTCTGATTACCACCATTCTTTTCTTCCTGTATTTTGAGGGTCCTCTAATTGACTTTGAAGTCAATGAATTGTGAATAAGATGAGGGCAATAAGAACAATAATTTTTTTCAAACAACAAAATAAATGCAAAATAAATCCTTCCTGGCATTGCCTTCTTAGGCACAGGTGAAATAAACAACCTTGGATTATCCGATGCTATTTATTTCCTATCAAATAAGCAAGAATGGGTTTCTTTATGTCAATTAATGGTTGAGTTTAGATTAAAGGCCATATAAAGCTCGAGACATTCCTGGAGGGAAAATAAGGAGCAGGCAGAAGTTGTCCACTGTGAGAATTCATTATTACACAAAAGAATAAATAGGACACGAATCCCTCCTTTTGTGTCTGAATATACTGAGCCTAAGAATGGTATAGGCTAATGGGCTGTGAGGTCTCATCATTTAAAGTATCTCTGAGGAAAGAGATAATGCACTTCCTTGAGGTTCCTGTTCCGATTCTTCTGCTTTGAATGACTGTCATAAACCCTAAGCTTCTCCTGTGTTCTGCAGTAGAAATAAATGACACAGATGAATTGCTCTTCAGCAAGAATGATCAGGTTTCCAATTCCTTTTGTTACACAATGTGAGACTCCAATCTAAAGGGGAAATCAGAAGAGTAGGGGTCTGGAACTCAGCCCAGCTTTCCCCATCCACTCTTAGCTTTAGACCAAACCCAACCTCTGTTCCTAGACCTTGTGCCTAACTTAGTCTTAGCCCAGAGTTGCACTTGATTCACAACTGTGATACCAGTTCACCCTAAACCCACAACACCCCTGCAACCACCGGCTCAACCTTACTTCTAATCTTTAGGCCTAATTCAAATCCATCTTCCTGCCTCTGAGTTTCCAGGAGTTGCATCTGTTAGCAAATCCAACTGTCAGCCACATACCACCCCATTGCCTGTCCAGCACTTACCCACAATCTTGCAGCCAGTCTTCAATTTTATTGATCGGATTCCCTAGAAAAGTCAGACACTAGATCACTGTGAGAACTGAACAAAACCAGACCTCCTCCCTGTAACTAATTCCATTACACAAGTTTATTCTTACATAAGCTGCGTCATGAATCTTTTTTTCTACATAAAGCTTTTCTTTAAGATATGAGAGGAATATACCCATATATAAAAATAGTATATATTTCTTCTCTCTCTCTGCTTTGTTTCTCCCTTCCTCCCAAGAACCTGGAAAGTGCCCAAGACGTCCGGCCCACTGCTCTCTTTTGAGAGATCCTTTCCCACAAGGGTGAATCCTTCTCATTTAAAAAGAAAAGGAAAAAGAAAAAGAAAGACAATCTTGTTTTTGTGCTGTTTGCTTCCCACCACATAAGCACAGATGGGTTTATTTCCATCAGAATTTTTGCTTTACTCATGTCTGTGATCTCATCTGAACCTCAAAGAAGCTCTGAGAAGTGTAGGAAAAGTACTGCCACTTCGATTAGACAAATAAGTCTAAGAGAGGTGAGTGACTTCCTGAAGGTCACACAGCTTGATAGTGACAGCACTGTGGCCAGAGTCCAGACATCCAGCCTGGACGTGGTCTTGTTATACAGACAAAACAGAAACACCCCAAAGCATTCATAGAGAGCCCCCAGCCTTGGGTTCTTATAGAAGCCTCTCAGGATGATGCAAAAATGTGCCCTTCCCTTTTTCCTAATCTAATGCCCGTCACCTTCTCACATAATTCATATTTCACATTACTTTAGCTTTTCTCCTAAATATATTTAAATCAGTCAAAACAGTCCTCCCTGAGAGCCTCGCTAAACAAGGGACCTGTGGGGGTGGAGAGTTGGGGAGGGATAACATGGGGAGAAATGCCAGATATAAGTGATGGTGAGGAAGGCAGCAAACCACATTGCCATGTATGTACCTATGCATCAGTCTTGCATGTTCCTCACATGTACTCCAAAACCTAAAATGCAATTATATATATATAAAATAAAACAAGGGACCTGTTAACACTCTGCAGACCTGGGCCAGCTATCACCAGACAATATAGACACCTGTCTGATGTTGGTGTCTTACCTTCTTGGAAAACGTCATCCAGGCTGGAAGGCTCATGATCTGGGACATCCTGCAGGGCCGCGGCAGCCTCCTCTTCTAGGACCTGAGTCTGCCAGTTACGGCTCTGACGGAGCCAGGCCCGCCGTTTCTCCCAGGATGTGGGACTCAGCACAGAGGCCTCCATGGCCCTGGTCAGACTTCAGGGTTACTTGTAATAGTAGTCCTGTCCTAAGAGTTGAAAAACAGTGACACTCCCTCATCCTGTGCTCAGAAACCACCATGATGCCCAGGGTTGCCCCTCGAATTTTCCTATCTCTGCACAAAGGAGCTTGGTCTCTGCCCATTCAAGAGCAGGGAGGACATGCCTAGCTCATTTTCTGTCTCTCCTGTAAAAAAGGAATGCTCTGCAAACTCTAAATACCAGGGTAAGTCTTTCAAGTCAGTACATTTGAAAGCTTCAAACATCACGATTTAATGGATATTAAGAAAACTCTTCTGACTTAATCTCTCTGTCTCAGGGTAGCTGAAATGCTGTACTAGAAAACATTTTTCGTTAACCCGTAAGAATGCTGTCTACCAGAATCTTCCATTATGACTAAAATATCTTTAAGCTTGCAATTTATAAAATTCACTTCATTTTTTTAATCCTCATCAAGACATATGAAAAATTTCGGATCTCAAAGGTGAAACAGATTTTCTAAGGTCCCACAACCAGGATGTCCCTCTAACTACAGGAGTTGTTTGTTTAGTTTTTGTCTTGATTTGTTATGTTCCTGTTTTATATATTAGGAGTCCACATATGATTTCTCTCAGAAAAAAAAGTACCCTGTGATTAAAAGTAGGGAGACACTGCCTTAAGCAATTAGCAGCTACTTTCTAATTTGTCACTTTCTAACAAAGTCTTTGTTAATAATCACGTTCTAATTTGTCAACTCATGCTTTCTACCTAACTATGAATTTATTTCTCAGCTCGTCAATGCAATTACTGATCCCATAGACTCATATTTCATGTAACACTATCTAAACATTTCTGTATTCTTCCAAGGGACACAATGATGGCACTAGATACACATTCAAAGAGGAACAGAGAGGGAAGAATCATTCATTTGTCCAAATAGGCTTAAAAAAGCTTGAGGTTAATGTCATATTCATTGGCTCATACTCTGTCCTGCTGCCTGTCTCCCACCAGCCACACTCGATTCCCACCACACTGAGCAAGTAGGAGTGGGGCTGCAACTCTTCCTGTCTTAGCCCTCTATTCCTGTGAGCTGCCATAAACAACTTCATCTTCAGAGCTACACTTTTAACTATTGGAGTAAAATAAAAAAAGAAAAAATATAAGAAGAATACCAGTTTAAAGAGACTTCCGTTCCTTCAATCCTTAAAAACAAAATCATTAGTGAGGCATCCGACGATTTAGGCACTAAAATGGCTATTTTCGGAAAGAACATCCTGAACGTAAAATGCATTCCTAGGGCGATAAAATTGTTTTAGATGCCTCTGCTTGTTACAGACAAAACATACCTAGGAAAAAATAATACACAATTACTGTTGTCTGATCTAAATTCCTTCACCTCAGGTCCCGTCCAAGATGTATTTTTCTCCCAGGTGAAATGGTAGTTAGCACTGTGAGACTTTGCTCCTTAACCCTGGGCACCTGGCTCTTTGTCTACTGCCTGTGCCTTTAGAGAAAATTGCATCATTGAATTAAGTTTGTGTCACAAGGAAGCCTCAAAGAGGAGTAGCAGAGATGACTTGCTGTTCTTTTGTCAGAGCTGTTGTGAGGAGATTGAGAGGATGAAATTACCACTAGAATGACCTTAGGACAATAATCTAAAAAGCCTTGATTGGTTTATTTACCTAGTCTTGTGCTCCAAAATATTTAATAGACTGATTCCAGACAGCCCAGAGAAGAAAGCCTCAATGGCTGACTTGCCTATTGTTTTTAATTCCCAAAGGAAATTGACCTCCCCTAAATCACTGGGAATCTTCAGCTCACAGAACAGTTTTGGTAGTAGAACTCAAAAGGAAGGCAGGAAGGCAGAAGGGCAGGAGGGTAGGCAGGGAAGGAGGAAAGGAAGGACTAGGGGAGGAATATCTGGCTTTCATACTTTGCTCTGCCGCTAACAAATGGTATAACCTTGGAAAATTTCGTTTTTTATTTGGTCTCAGTTTGTCAATGAAAACATTACATCCCTAACATTTGATGCTTCTAGTACTACAGACTTCTGGATATGCTATTTTACAGTCAAACCCCTATAATGCCTAGCACAATTCCAGATCTCAGTAATTAAAACAGAGGTAGGGAGTTTCAACATCCTCTGTGACATGAATCTAGTTTACAATCCTCCTACATCTTCAAAAATATATCACAGTGATACAGGCTAATGTTCTCTGCATTCCCTGAAAATACTTATCTCTTTTTTAACCTCGGTGTTCTAATATTCTTTCCCCCTCCTCTTCCTCTTCCTCCGTCTTTGCCACACTCACCCTGCAATGTCCATCTCTTAACCAACCTCCCCATGAAGCCATGCCTGGCTTCCACAGCCTACCTTAATCACATTCACTGGGCTCTTTCTCTGCTTGATGTTTTTTTTTTTCTGCTTAGGTATTATCACTAACATAATTTACATTTTATTTATTTATCTAATTTATTGTTTTACTCTTCTGATTAGAATACAAGCTCCAAGAGGACATAAATTTTTGGGTCATTTACTGCTGTGTTTCCAATGCCTAAAACAGAATTTAACACATTGTAACCACTGAATGAATAATCATTCTCTTAATGAGTGACTGTTTAGAAGGTGACTGTTCCTCAGAGGAACCCAGTGCCTTACAGAGTCATCAGAGACAGAGGCAGGGAGATCAACTTCAAAACAGTAAAACAATAAGCTGGCAACTATGTGCTTACTAAGCATGTAAAAATGTTGTGGGTTGAAAGTTGGAGAAAAGAGAGAGGGTTATTCTAAGACTTGTTTTTATCCTAGAAGTTCCTATAATTGAGAACAAAAGTATTTTCTTGACTAGCCCCTATTTACTGTCTGTCTCTATATCCTATGTATGGAAGTTTTATTTAATGTTAATACCTAAAGGATAATAATGCCTATGAAAATAGAGTCATTAATGCTTAAGAGTTCCAAAGAGAGGCTTAAAAATAAATGGCAATTATAGGTATGACAATGAAAAGGCCAGACAGGTTAAGTGTTCACTGACAATGACAGACATTTTCCTGGCAATTGGGGTGAGAATGGAAGAATTTTTCTATGTGAAAAAGTAGCAGTGATCTCAAGTCTGAAAGAAAGGACATAAGGTAGAGAGAGCTAAGCTAATCTTCACAACTCTAGCACACAGGATAGGGGACTGGGAAATTGCATGAATTTTTTTCCCCCAATCTCAGCAACACTTGAGTTGTAGAGACTTGTTCATGGAGTGTACCATAAGTACAGCAATTTCAAGAGGCAAGGATAAGTGGTAGTGTTTGGTTAACGGTAATAGGAGGAAGATATACTGCTGGGAGATAAGAAACTGGGCATTTTTTTTCTTGTGAAAATCTGCAGGAAGCGACAAATGATTATCAGACAAGCACATCAGTCATGAGACTGTTAGAGAGAATTAAAAAATGGGTACACATAAATGTCAAGATAGCAGCTTTGTAGGTCTTGGGGCTCCTTGTAATAGAGATAAAGACATGGAGATGTTTCCTCCAAATAAGTCATTCAAAAACATACACTGATAATACAGTGGAGTTTGGTGCAGTGAAAAGAAAACTGACTAGAAATCAGAAGACTTGGACATTTTTCTGACTTGTCCAATTAATTGACTTCTGGCATGTCAATTAGGTTTTTTATTAGGGTATCTAGTTTAATCCTCTAGGAAAGGGATTGGTTGGACTCAAAGTGTAAATATACTTCCAGTGACAATGTTTATTAATTTATTTCATACTTTTTAGGTGAGTTTGAAATATGCATAGGAATAGTACCTGTACAAGAAAATGCATTTGTGTAGTTTTCCCCATTAAAAAGTTGGAAATGGTTCAGTGGTCTCTGGAGTTACTTCCCATTTACGAATTCCCTTTCAAATTAACATCAGCATATGGAGCTCCTGCACATGTGACCTTCACGCTGGATCCAGAAAAGTGGTGAGCCTGAGCAGGCAGGCCATACAGGAACCTCTACAGGGAGCCAATCAGGTGCCACTCAGTGACTCTCTCTGCTTGAACTTTTCTGCCTCTGCTTTAGCTTATAGCTTCATCCACCTTCCTCTCTAATCAAATAAATTCTTTCTACCCTTTAAGGGCCTGCTCAAGCCATCTCCTTCCTCTGATCTACCTCTAGCAACTAACACCCACGCCTGCACCATATACAACAAGAAAGTAAGTGGCTACCTCTCTTGTCATCATGCACCGCTACGTGTAACTTCTCCCCTAAACCCATCACAGAACATAGCACAGTACTTTGCAAGAGAAGTGACTCCATAAATGCTGTGCCTGCAGAGGAGCAAGAATCACCCTGGCACTGGGAAACTATCCCCAATTAGTATTCATCATAGGACAGGTGCTCCTGACTGTCCTCATGACCTTGGACCCTAATGTACATTTTTGCCCAGCTTGTAGTAAAGAGGAAAAAGGCTTGGAGCATAGTCCTCCCACTCCTTTGTTGATATGACGTAAGGTCACCCAAGTCTGACTTAATTTATAAAGCTTGAACTACCTAATTCTCCTATCTTAAAACATATTTTACAGTCTTTCATTTTAAGGTTTTATTAATTTCTTGGTCAAAATTTCCTTCTGGGATTTGTGTACGATGTTTCTTGATGCTGGTTTATAGTATATGATCATATTTAATCTTCTCTATGAAGACAGAAATATAAAGCCTGCAGATATCTTTTCTCCAGTTTTCTCACAAAACTAAGACATTCCCACACTGGTATTATTGCTTCTTGCCTGAATCAGCCCAAACCCTTATTTCCTCATCTGCTACCATTTCCAGCTTTTTGTTCTTTCCTCTTTTCTACATTTCTCTAGAGGTTCATTCCCTAAATCCTTCTCCACCATCTGTCAAGAGTTCTGGATCTGATTACAACCAAGTAGAGTAAGAGAATTCTTGTTCTGCAGATGCTATAGTTAAAAGCAGAAACTGTGGCAGATAGGATTGAGGTTAGGCAGGAGAAATACCCTCTACTGGGTTCAGATTAGGGAGTTAAGAGCTGTGAAATAAGTATCTTCCAACAAAAATTATTATCAGATGCAGTAACTGTAGGAACAGCAGAAACCCTGTAGAGGTATGTCCATAATTACAACACTGAGAATATCACCTATTTCTAGTCTCTGTTTTCCAAGGGAAGCAGTCAGGGATTCACTACACATTGACATGGGCAAGTCAAAGGTAGATAGATACTCATAATAACTGATACGCACAGAGTACTGTATATTTATCCATAAAACTTTCCTGTTAACTGCTTAACTTAATCCTGGCAACCACTTTAGAGCTAATTACTATTATGTGACACTTACAGAGATATGTGATTTGTCCAAGGTCACATCCCTGTATTGCTGAGCTATAAACTCAAGTTGATCTGACTCCATGTTATACAGTTTTTCCACTGACATTAGAATAAGAAAATGGCCCAATGTCACCATCCAATGCAATTTGAGATTAAAAAATCAGAAGTTGTTTTAATAAATTCTCCATTTTGCATGCTATGTAAACTCTCCACCTTATGGTCTAGTAGAGAAGAGGCAGCATAAACACAATGCAATTTATATTCGGTTCTGTGACAATCTTAGTGCAGGAAGTGTTGCTTTGTTTGTGTTATTGGAATAGTTTCCTTTCTGAGTCCAACTAGGTGATTATGAAGCAGTTTAGCCTTCCTCAGGCTTACGGAGTGGTTTTTTTTGGCAAGGTTCCAACTAACTTGCAGTGGGGAGGAGAGAATCTGCCTGGAATTCCACATTACTTTCAGATGGTTATGGCATTGAGAATGTTTCATAATGGTTTGGGGCACCACAGGGCAATGAGAGCTGGTGCTGTCACAGCCCTGTGGTGGGGCCCCACCCAGTACATGGCTGAAGGGGCCTTGAATTTCCAGAGCCTGTCTGGGGAGTCTTGAGGAAAGAGCTGGGATAGCTGGGCTGGTGATGGGCACTCAGAGAGCTTGGAAAAATGGATAATTATCATTATTTACTATAAACAAATTTTAATATATTAACAACTATTAGCCTACCAATTTGTACCTGACAAATATCAGCTCTGCTTACAGATACTTCACCATGGGGAAATTTTCAAGGGGCTCAGTAAGGATGACCAGCGCTTCTTTTTCTTTAAAGTTCAGAGTGTTATTTAGAAATTAATGAGAAGGAAAATTATAGAAAGGGTTTGGGCATTGGAACCAGAGTAAGTCTAGTTTGGAATCACAGTTCTGTCTATTTACTGCATATTTGTCCTTCGTAACACTATTTTTCCTTCTATACCTAAGTTTCTTTTTTCTTTTGTCTTGCTGTGTTACCCAGGCTGGTCTTAAACACCTGGCCTCAAGCAATCCTCCCACCTTGGCCTCACAACGGGCTGGAATTATAGGTGTGAGCCACCGCACCTAGACTGTACCTAATTTTCTTCATGTGTAAAATAGATACTGTGCCAAACTAGTTGGGAGATTGACAGTTGTAATGAGGTAACATATATGAAGTCTCTGATGTATAAAGGTGGTGCTTAATAAGTGACAGGTATGATTATGAACCTGCCATCAGCCTAAGCTGTTCACTGAAGTTGAAACATCTTGAGGAACAAGGAAGGAAAGAAGGAAGGAAGAAGGAGTGAACAGCAGGGTACAGTTGACAGCATAAAATCAAGATGGTGAAAAAAATTTTTTATCTGTGTTAAGCAGAGATAAAATGTAAGCAATGAAAGTCTTTCTTTCTTACCTAATTCCCAAAGGGACCAGAGAGGTTATTTAATCCTGTTCACTTATTTTGTAGTTGAGGAAACAGAGCGAGAGAGAGAGAGAGAGAGAGAGAGAGAGAGAGAGAGAGAGAGAGAGAGAGAGAGAGAGAGAGAGAAGGGCAGGCTTGCTTGGAGTCACAAGAGTATTAGTGGATTTAAATGGGAATCAAACTCACAGGTTCTGAGTCCCAGATACATGCTTTTTCATTTATATCATACAGCCTTCCTCCTGCCACACTTGGTTTCCAAGGCCCAGTCCCAGGTTTGTCTTTAGTGCTCTGGGGGACGGGTGGGAGACAGACCTCTCTTCTCTTCTGTCTGTTTTGTACCAAGTAGTGCCTGTGAGTTGAGACTGAGAGTGAGAACCAGTGTGGGAGGAGAGAAGAAGGAAATGGGGTTTCCATGAGGTGGCCCATTAGACCTTTTGCATCCACAGCCAAGATACACATCATTATAATTGCAAAGAGTTGCGGGAAATGCCAGAGCAGCTAACATTTCTCTGTTTGTGAACTGGACAAACTCTACCACAACCCAGGTGGATTGTCCCTCATTTGATACACCCCAACCTGCAGCAAATTCTCACATTCCTTCATAGGTAAGAACTGTCTTCTAGCTCTTAACCCTCTTCCATGTGACTCAGGTTGGAAGATCATCAGAACAAGAATTTCCCTAAGTATAATATTTGAACATTCTGAGACTTCTTTGTCTAAGGAGCAGTTCGATCTGTTCAGGGAAAAAAGGAGATGTTATTTGGTAAATAATAGAAAGAAAAATGCCCATTAATCAATAGATCTCCTTTCCTCGTCTCTTTTTATACTCTTTCTCCCACAAATAAGTTTAGCTGAATAAATACAGAACGAAGATCATCTAAGACCTTTTTCCTCTCCTTTCCTTTCTTACTTACTTCTACTTTCAAGATATGAATGAGTTTTAAGAAAGGCATGTATGCTGCTACAGGAAATATTGAAGTTGTACATTTGGAAAAAAAATTAATCCCATGTTCTCAATGTAGGGAGACATCAAATATCTTCATTGGATGGGTATTAAAGACATCAAGAATAAGAAATAGCAGTTCATTGGAGCTAGTTTATAGATGGGTTCATCTAGAGAAAGTAGGAAGAAGGAGCATATTTCTCAACCAATGAGTTGGCTCTGTGAATTCGTATCTTTAATTCTCCAGTTTTATTTCCTTTGTGACAAGCTCTTTCCCACATATACTCATTTTTCTTCTTTCCCTGTTTCCTTTTTCAATATCTACACACACTCTTCTCCTTGTCCCTCTGCTTATTTGACTGAACTCTTTTCTCAATCTAAAATCTGTGTTTAGGACATTCTGCACCAGGCCTGGGTATGGCAGGGCACATAATACTGTGGGTACTGGAATACCCACTTTAGTCTTATCCCTTAGGTGGAAAAGAGAACAGATGTAAGTTTGCAAGTGGAAACACACGTGTGATCTTTTCCCCTTACTGTAGCCCAGAAGGAACCTTGTAAGTCACAATGTTGGCTGAGACCAGACCTCCATTTTATTCTCTATTCTAATAGATGGATTCTAATCCAAATCATAAACATTGAACTGAAAATGACGGTTGGGATTTCATGTTTACTACATAATGCTCAATCACAGGGTTCCATCTTAATTTTCAAAAAACCAAGGGTTATGAGAACATGTTATTAGTATAGCTATAAATGGTTTCTAAACACCCTGGGGTGCATGTGAATAACTCATATGTTAGATCGCTTTCTATCGCTCCTGTTATATATTCACCTTGTTATTTCTGATAATAGTCTCAGTAGAGACAGACAATAAACCTGATTTTCCTTCTTCCTACTAACACTTTGTGCTGCAAGAAAATCATACAAGATCTTTATCTCTAATCACTCAGGCTGAACAACTGTTGAGTCTGATGCTTGGACATACAAGTTGAAGCTTCCTACCTCCAACCTCCCATCCTAGGTACTGCCCTCCACCATCTAGAAAGTCTCCTCACCTCCCTACCCAGGACCATTTGTGGTATACAGAGTCACTAGCACTTCCCTGGAAATCTCCTGTAAACTCTCACAGTCTTGTCAAAAAACTTCTGTGGAACTCTCCTCTCTTGTCTTTGCCCTGCCCTGGGGACCCACCCTTTCTCCTCCACCCACTGATGAGCTGAGTGGCACAGACAGGGTATGGGAAAACCCCAGGGTGGAGGATCTTTCCACTCCTCCATCTTCCCCAAAACTCATTTGGGTGATGACAAGCTCTGCCTGCTACCACTGGGGCAAAGGGAGTTGGAGGAGCATGAAGCCCCCAGTATTACGTAGGTCGCTGAAAGATCAACACACCCATCTATCCATCTCTGAAATGTGAAGCCTGAAATCCGGTCCTGACAGGTGGATATCCATCTATCTTGAGCCTTCTGGTTAATTTGACCTTGCGTCACTCAAGTGTGTAAATCCTCCCTTACAGCTGACCTCAATATATTTTGCTGCAATTTATCTCAACAAGTTTCTTCTACAGCTTCTGAAGAAAGAGGTCATAGAATAGAAAGCGAAATTGATATCGGCCACGTTGGAGCATAGAAAGCAAAATTGATTTCTCAATGGTTGGAGCTATGGACACTAGAGTAGGACCTGAAATGAAATTGGGAAACTTCTTCCTTGAGAACTTTTCAGTGTTCTAATCAGATGGCAGTCGCAGCAACAATGACTTCAGCAAGACACAGAGAGAGACTCTGAAGGTGAGAAAGGTAAAAAAAAATTCCTAAAACAGTTATTCAAGTCATCAAAGAAATCCATGTTTTGAGAACCTAGAAACATTACTTCTTTGATAATAAAGAGGAGAAAATAAACAAACTGAAGCGAAAGGGCGCCCAGCACTGTTCTCCTAAGCACAGTGATGGGTACTTTTAAGGTCAAGGTAAGAGCGGTGCGAGATTTTCTCCTGATATTCCCTTTTCTTGGAGCCTGCTTCTTCTCTGGCTTGTTTCCGTCTTTCTCCTAGCATCACCCTGAATCAGTACAGCCTTGAGACTGAGATAAAAGCTGTACTTACCTGTCCGCTGGTAGAAAGGTGAGTTTGAGGCAAACCAGTTTTCAAAGCTGGGCGGAGACCTTCACAGGTGTGGGCATAGAGGTGAAGCGAGTGAGAAAGTATCATGTTGTAGATTATGCCTTTCTCCCTGAACTCATTCAACTGCTGTCGCCTGCTCAAAAGGGGAAGCGGAAATGAGAACACCACACACACACACACACACACACACACACACACACACACACACACGTAGATGCAGTCCCCGCCTCCCAGCCCAGCCACATCCTTTGCTCCAGCTCGGGAGACTGAGTGAAGGACAAACCATCTGTAGACACCGTGCTCACAACTAGGAAGACCTTCCTGCCCCAGAGCTGCCTCTGTCTTTTCAGAAAAACAGGAGATCTTTTCTTATTAACACACAGGCACAGTCCATTTAAAGATGTGTGTGCAGGAGTCTTCCTACCATATAACTAGAATTCCACTGCTGCAGACAAATCCTTCCGTCCTCAGGAGGAGAGCTGTCTGAAAACGGGAAAGCTCTCTCTGGTAAATGATCTCGCGTTTATCTCAGAGGTTCCCAGCCCTATCACACACTTGAGAGGGCTCTGAGCCAGTCACTCTGTGTTTATCACTCTTTCATACTCCGGTAAATTCCCCCGAAGCTTGTTTTCGAATACTGCCTACTTTTTTTTTTTTTCTGTTAGTTTCTTAACTTTGTTTTTACGTTCAAACCACTTCAAAGTTTTTGTAATAAATGACTGCTTTCCCCAATGTTTTCAAAGCTGAACTTTTGAAATCTGTTACACCCTGAAGATGTTTTCAGTTGATTGGTTTTCTGTTAGGAGAAGGTTTATTGAACTCTAAAAGGTTTCTCCCAGTCCTCAGTCACCTTCACCCACCCGGGCGCATTCAGCTCTGTTAACTATCCTTCCTCGCTTCTCCAATATCTCCTAATGCACTTTCCTCTCTGTAGAATGCTCCTTTATCTTGAGTATCTTCTTTCTCTCTCTCTCTCCTGGTTCTACTGTTTTCTTCTTTGAATCATTTATTTATGAATATTTATCACAATATTTATTCTATAAGGCACTCCTCTGTGTGTTGAGACTGATTTTCACATGTTCCTTAACTTCTTTCTGTTTTGATGGCTATAAGTATACTTAGGTTTTTTTTTTAGCCATGTTTTTAAATTCCATTCCCAATTATCAATAGGACAACTCCATTGAGTGTCCATAGTATAGTTATAATATGGTAGAAATAATCCTAAATAAAATTCTTGTGTGTCAAATTAAGTTCTCAAAACATTATTTTCTTCAAGTATAATGTCAGGAAAATAATAATTCTCTCTGTCTCTCACTCAATCTTCCCCCACCCTATTCCTTTTACATAGGCATGAAAATGTCTAACATAGTTTCTCAGGACATAGCAGATGCTAAACATGTGCTTTTCTGAGAATTAGCTTCACAGTCAACAAGTAAAATGCTAAACCCAACATGCTCTAATTCTCTTTATTTACTATTCTTTTCCATACAAGTTAATTGTAAAAACTCAATGAATGCAACTTCAACAATTCTTTTAAATCCCAAGTTTCTGGAATTTGCTATTTTCCTTAACAGTTGTTTTCAATATGTTTGGGTTAGGGAGAATATCACTCCTGTAGGGAGTTTGGAGATATGTGGGGGAGATTTAATTTTCAAAGAAAATGGGAAACTGATACTGGTACTTAGTACCTGAGGGCCAGGGATGCTGAGTGCTTTTGAAGGGATGGGATGGTTCAGCAGCATAAGGAATAATTGTCCTGGTCCGGTGTCAACATTTTGTTAACACTGATCATTTCATGGTTAGGAGAGCAGGCTTTAGTGTGAGGCTCTGGCATCAAGTAGCTCTGTAGTCTTGGACACATTAACATCCCCAGGTCTCAGTTTCTAAGCTGCTAAATGGGGGTTAATCTTCTTACAGGAGTGGTTGCAAAGCTATAAGAATAAAGGAACACAGTAGTCCAGCGTCCACCTCACAGCAAACGCTCAACAAATGGCAGCTATTTTTAAGGCTCTTGAAATACAATAGTTTCTTTTTTTTAATTTTTATTTTAAGTTCAGTGGTACATGTTCAGGTTTGTTATATAGGCAAGCTCGTGTCACAGGGGTTTGTTGTACAGATTATTTTATCGCCCAGGTATTAAGCCTAGTACCCAATAGTTTTTTTGATCCTCACCCTCCTTCCACACTCTACCCTTTCATAGGCCCCAGTGTGTGTTGTTTTCCTCTATGTGTCCAGGTGTTCTCATCATTTAGCTCCCACTTATAGGTGAGAACATGTGGTATTTAGTTTTCTGTTCCTGTGCTAGGTTTCCAAAGATAATGGCCTCCAGCTCCATCCACGTTGCTGCAAAGAACATGATATAATTCTTTTTTATGACTGCATAGTACTCCACGGTGTATATGAATCACATTTTCTTTATCCAGTCTATTACTAAGGGGCGTTTAGGTTGATTCCATGTCTTTGCTATTGTGAATAGTGCTGCAATGAACATACACATACATGTGTCTTGATAATGAAATGATTTATATTTCTGCAGGTATATACTCAGTAATGGGATTGCTGGCTCTAATGGTATTTCTGTTTTTAGGTCTTTGAGGAATTGCCACACTGTCTTCCACAATGCTTGAACTAACTTACACTCCCACCAATAGTGTATAAACATTCCTTTTTCTCTGTAACCTCACCAACATCTGTTATTTTTTGACTTTTTAATAATGGTCATTCTGAGTGGTGTGAGATGCTATCTCGTTGTGGTTTTGATTTGCATGAAATATAATATTTTCAATTTATCCAGAATGCTTTATGTCTATCTGTCAAAATTACCTCACTCACTAAAGATACCATTTCACAAGCAATTGCTAGAAATCATTTTAATAAAAATATTTTTGATTTATATTTATATTTATTCTCAATTTTTGTGAGTACATATGTAGGCTTATATGTTTATAGTAGTTGTGATTTATTTTTTAGAAAGAAATATTTTTCTCTTCTACAAGCAGCTTCTGAAAGACAAAGATGAAGACTATATGATTCCTAGGAGAAGGAGGTTCAAGGTATTTCCCTGTTTGTCTTCTTTCTCATTGTATAGTCTTTTTCTCTTTCTTTGCTTTTCCTTCCCTCCCTCCCTTCCTTCTTGCCTTCCTTCCTTCCCTCCCTCCCTCCCGGCCTCCCTCCCTCCCTCCTTTCTCTTTTTTCCCTCTCATTTGCCCTTCCCATCCTTTGAAAACATTAAATGCCTCTATATCTTTGGCATCATGAACTTCTCTGAGTGTATATTCCAGGTGCTTCATGAAAACAAAACCACTTGTTCTTTTTGTACTAGATGCAGTAGTTTAGGGTTTCCGAAGGTTATTTTGTGAGCTTGTTCATTTTTTCCCCTTGGTTAAAAATAAACCCCTTACGCTATCAGAGATAATGAACTAGCTCCTGACTGCCTGTGTGATTCAGCAGTTTGGTGCCTCATCATAGGGCCTATTTGTCATTCCATGGCTCCCTCTCTTGTGTTTTACATAACTTAGTAAAAACACTGAACTAGGAGTAAAAGGGCAATCTGAGTTTAAAACTATACTAGTCACTTGATTCCACTGGATATCGTATCATCTTCTGGCAAATAAAGAACTGTTTTCTTAGATTAGCTTGGCTTTAGATGTCTGTAACATCTGTTACAGATGTTATTTTTCTCTACCCTTTTATAACTACATGTAGTTTGTTATGGAAAATGAAAATATTAAGTGACTGATATTTGGTAAGAAATTATTATAAAGGTAGTAGAAAAAGTATTTTGAAAAACTTCTTTTCAACTGAAAAGCCAAGTAAATATTGCTTTTGATAATATTTTCCTCCAGACATGTAACCTGATAACACTGACAAATAAGAACAATTTCTGAACGCTGATGTGCCCATCAAACAGATGGGCTGTATTTGGGTACAAGTTCTGGAGCTGCAGAACTGAGGGCTGAGCTGGCAGGTTGCCCAGACCTGGGGCAGAGCCAGGACAGCTGCCCATAGAGGCTGTCCCAAGACAGAGAAGCTGCTGTTCAGAGCTACTGCTCTGGGCCGAGCAGCTGGGCCCCTCTGCCCAGACCCAGATGCAAATCACCTGCCTCCATTTCAGCTCTCAACCTTCTTTTTTCTCAGGTACTAGGATTTGCAAATGCGGTTTTTGTTGTTGTTGTTCGTTTGTTTTGTTGTTTTATTTTTTTTCCAGGAATGTGTTCCTCCAAATTGCTGATATGGGAGTTCGAGCGCATTTGTCTCCTTCCTGTAACCAAAGGCTCAAAAGTAGAACAAGAAAGTGGATAGAGTAGTAGGGGAGAGAGCAGTGGTTTAACTCACCAAGGGTTTTCTGAACTTTCTCCAGGCAGAAAAGTGTCCACCAAAGTCACCTTGTTCTTTTTTCTGCTTCTATGTTCTGGTTGTTAAGGATACAAAGAAATGGAATTATCTAACGTTTCTAAGCTGCCCATTCTTCTAAATTGCTCTACTCAATGCCAGAAAGTTCTTCCTTCTGTCTGGCTGTATCTTCTCTCTGTAAAAGTCCAGCAGAACATTAAGGCAATCCATCTCAGGCCTCTGCAGAGGGTGTTCATTCAGTGATCTGGATTGTAGTTCTACCCAAAATGCATTTTGTTAGATATCTTCTGAGTGCCAGAAATGAGACAGACCTGGGGAAGGGGCTGAGGGGAGGGTGGAAGGAGAAGAAGATATACAAGAGGGAGAAACAGTATCAAATGCTATCCCTTAGAGGCTTATTTTGTAGTATGATCAAGTAATTTGGGGAAATACAGGGTTAACAAAAGACAAACATGTTCCTTTAAGTCAGTGGTCCCCACTGTTTCTGGCACCAGGGACTGGTTTCATGGAAGACAATTTTTCTATGCAAGCAGGTTGAGGGGGGTGGTTTGCTGATGAAACTGTTCCACCTCAGATCATCATGCCTGCCACGCACCTTCTGCTAGCAGCCAGGTTCTTAACAGGCCACCAACCTGTGCTGGTCTGTGGCCTAGGGGTTGAGGCCCCCTGCTTTAAGTCACAACTTCTTGAGGCTTTTAATAGATTAACATGAATTGTGACTCTCATAGAAGGAGGAAGTTTTGTATTTCCCAAATGTATTGGTCTATGGATTCCCCTCCCCTCCCCTCCCCTCCCCTCCCCTCCCCTCCCCTCCCCTCCCCTCCCCTCCCCTCCCCTCCCCTCCCCTCCCCTCCCCTCCCCTCTCCTCCCTTCCCTTCCCTTCCCTTCCCCTCCCTTTGCTTTCCCTTCCCTCCCCTCCTTTTACTTTCCCTTCCCTTCTCTTCCCTTCCCTTCCTTGGAGCATCCCAGAAAATTATTTTGGAAAAGCTTTCTTCCACTACAGCCACTTTTCTGGATTAAATAATGGCATTCATGTCTTTTATTATATTCAGATGGCTATGAACAGAAGATTGACTTCTCAGTGAGCCTACGTTGTATCTTTCTTCCCATCGAGTCCATTTAACTCAGAATCACAGGTCTTGATTGAGTTTTTCAGCATGATCTACATGGTGAGTGCTCAGTGTTTTGTAAGCCAGTGGAGGAGGACAGAGCCTGGATGTGGGTGTAAGTGCAGTGGGGGAGGAGAGATCTGGGAATTTAGTAGGATGGGAGGCAGGAGCCTTTTGGGGCTAGAGAGAGATCTATCAGGAAAAATCTCAGGGACTTGACAAACAAGAAATGTGGAATCGTTTTAAAACTCGATCTCTCTAACTAGAAGAAAAGAGGGTTTCTAGCAGGGTTCCTCCCTATACCAGGGACCTGGTACAAAGTAAACACTCATAGCAACAGTGTAATTACTGAAGGGAAAGAAAAAAGAGGAGGAGGAGTGAAAAGCAATGAAAATTTGTAAGTGAAAGAGGATTTAAGGTGGGTCGGGCCATTATCTTCAGTGCATGCGACTTGCAGTGCACTTGATTTACGTGCAAATGCAGTAGCTATGTTCAAGCTGCTCCAATAGCGGAAAAACTCATAAAATGCATGACTTCCAAGCAATAGGAATTTATTTCTGAAGGTTCTGGAGGGATGTCCAAAATCAAGGTGCTGGCAGATTTGTTGTCTGGTGAGAGCCTAATTTTTAGGTCATAGACACCTGTCTTCGCACTATGTCCTCATGTGATGGAAAGGGAGAGCCAGCTCTCTGGGGTCTCTCTTATAAGGCGCACTAACACTGATCATGAGGGCTCTGCTCTCCTGACCTAATCATTTTCCAAAAATGCCACCTCATAACACCATCACCTTGGAGGTTCAAGTTTCAACACATGAATTTGAGGGGCTGGTATGAACATTCAGATGATAGTAACCTTGGAGAAACTATGAGGGGAGCATCAGGGGTTAGTGACTTAGTGGATTTGGGGAACATTTAAAACTGGGTTCTTCAGGCCAGGAACATTTAAAACTGTGTTCTTCAGGTTTTTCAACACTCTAAAGCCTTGAAAAGGATAGGCATCAAAAGACACAATAGCAAGTAAAATTTGGGGGCTGTTGCAGATTTGGTATGAGGGAAAAATTGGTGGGGTGAGTGAATATTGGTGTTAGAGCTTAGAGGTGGAACACGAAAACTTGGGTTATTGTGGGAAAGGGGCAAGAGGTCACAGATTGGAGGAAGGGACAGATTTTTTTTTTTGAAGAGCCTAGGTGCATCTCTTATCTCCACAAAACGGAAGCCCTGAAGTCTGAGGTCACTCTACCGAAGTCAGACTGCATTCCCTGTTCACAGTAGACTGGAGACCCTGGTGTGCAGGGCAGACACAGGTAAAAACAGAAGAGGGTGTGGGACAGAACCCAGTGATGAACTGCAGAGCAACAGACCAAGGTTTCTGATAGGATGTTCAGTGTTTCCTCAGCGTAGTGTCGGTTAATCAGAGGAAGTGGGACAACTGCTGCCTTCTGATCAGAGGAATACCTGCAGGTGACGAGACGGTGTATGTGTTACCCCAGCGTGTGGTCTGCACAGGAGTCTCAGCTCCAAGGAGAGTTCTCGTTGTTAGCTTTAGAGAAAGAGTAGGAGGAAGACGTGGAGGAGGAAAAGAAAATAGAGAGGCTGAATCAGAGAGAAGCAGAGAGAGAATCTGAGGGAAATAATTTACATGCAAGAGAAAGTGAAACTCAAGTGTAACCACCCACCCACACTGCAAAGGGCAACTTCTCTGGTCCACCCACTAGGGAAAACCTCTCAGGTTTCTCAGGCACCTGTTCTGGCAACAATTATCCTTCTCCCAGAGTTTGCCTCCGCCTCCTTTAGAAGGTAGGAACAAGTGATAAAGTGGGAGTGAAGATTTAAATGACTTCAAGTGCTCCACAGCTACATATTGTACTTTTTGCTCTACTTACATTGAACCTGTCTCTTTTGACCTGGGTGTTAAGGAGTGAGAAGTAAAAATCCTGTCCTTTAGCCCTTATTCTGCTTCTTTTCTGGATTTCAGATTCCTTAAATGTAAAACGAGGAAGTAAAAATAAATTGTCTTTAAGATTCTTCCCAGTGTAATGTTTTATATTTTGAATAATACTAGCTACCATTTAATGAGTAAATACTCTGTGAAAAATGATTAATATATCTTAACTAGAATCCTCAAAACCATCTCAAAAGTGAATATTGTGATTCACAGATGAACTAAGTGACATTGTGTCTCTGGCTTTTCCCACCCTGCAAACCTCTGTGTTCGTAGATGAACCCCTGACCTGATAGACAGTCAATGCATCGCTTCGTGACGGGGACATGTTTTGAGAAACACGTTCTTGTGCGAACATCATAGAGTGCACTAACACTAACCTAGATGGCATAACCTACTGCTCACCTTGGCTATGCAATGTAGCCTATTCCTCCTCAGCTGCAAATCTGGTCAGCATATTACTGTACTGAATGCTCTTGGCAATTGGAACACAGTGGGAAGTATTTGTGAATCTTAACATAGAAAAGGTATGGTAAAAAATACAGTATAAAAGATTAAAAAATGGTACACCTGTATAGGATACTTACCATGAATGCAGCTTGTAGAAATGGAAGCTGCTGTGGGTGAGTGAATGAGTGAGGGGTGACAGAGACTTAGGACATTACTGTCCACACTGTAGACTCTATAAACACTGGACACTTAGGCTGCACTAAACTTACTTAAACATTTCTCTTTTCATTAATAAGTTAAACTTACTGTAAATTTTTAATTTTATACTATTTTACATTTTTGTTAATGACACAGCTTAAAACACACGATGTACAGAGGTACAAAAATATTTTTAATATCCTTATTTGATGTTTTTAAAGTCTTAAATTATTTTACTTTACTTTTTAAACTTTTTTTTTAAAGTTGGGACACAAATACACACATTAGCTTTGGCCTACACAGGGTGAAAATGACCAATATCACCATCTCATACCTGCACATCTTGTCCCACTGGAAGGTCTTACGGGGCAGTAACATGCATGGAGCTGTCATCTCCTACGATGATGCCTTCTGAAGGACCTGCCTGAGGCTCTTTTACGGTTCACTTTTTTAAGAAGTAGAAGGAGTGCACTGTAAAATAACAATAAAAAGTATAGTGCAGTAAATACATAAACTATAGTGCAGTTTAGTATATGTATAGGTATAGAGCAGTGAACCTAAAAGTATAGTGTGGTAAATACATAAACTGCATACATAAACTGTTACTCCAATAACAATTAATAAATAGTTTTATCATTATTAAATATCATGTATTATACATAGTTGTATGTGCCGTCATTTATATGGCTGGCATGCAGCATCTGTTTACATGAGGAATAAACACAAACATGCGGGTAAATAATACGTTGTGCTACCACATTACCATGGCTATGATGTCACTAGGTGATAGGAATTTTTCAGCTCCATTATAATTTTACAGGATTGTGGAGTATATGGTCCATCCTTGACCAGAATATGGTTATGCAGCTCACGACTGTACTCCTAATAACCACCAGGTGGCAGCCCATACTCATTCTTTAAGGTCACAATTACATAGGTGGAAATCTGAGACTAACCCACTGCCTAGGAAACTGCCTTTACCCAGACTGATGAATTCAGTTATGGAGTATCTGAACAACCCGTTTATCTGATTTGTTTCACAGGCGATTTGGATGAATTTAGGAACTAAATAAGCAATTGAAGTTTTCTTCCTTTGATTTTCTGGACTTCTTTTTTATTTTTGGAGACAGGGTCTCCCTATTGTCCAGGCTAGAGTGCAGTGGCACAATGACAGCTCACTGTAGCCTTGACCTCCGGGGCTCCAGTGATCTTCCAACCTCTGCCTCTTGCGTAGCTGGGACTAGGCATGCACCATCATGCCTGCCTATTTTGTAGAGTCAGGATCTTATGTTGCCCAGGCTGGTCTCAAACTCCTGGGCTCAAGCAATCCTCCCGCCTCAGCCTCCCAAAGTGCTTGGGATTACAAGTGTGAGTTACCACCATGCCCAGCCTGATTGCTCATTTTAAATTGAAGAATGTCCAGGGTTGAATAGAATTTCAAAAGGTTAAGGAGTAAAAAGAAGGCTCTCCTGGCAGAGAAATCTGGGTGAGCATAAAAACCAAGATGGAAAGGTACAGGGTATGTTTGGGAAAAAGTCAACTGGCTCAGCCTGGGTGTACTATAAGTTGTGTTATGAGAACCAGTGAGTAGAACCTAAGATAATTAACCTAAATTAAGTTTAGATCTAAGAAATCTTGAATATCATATTTTGGGATATAAATTTTGTTTTAACAGTTTTCCTTTGAAATGGAGAACATCTGTACAGGTGTATGACTTAAGACTGTTAATATTCTACTTTGTTATAATGTCTTTTTTCCCAACACTTTGAGAATCCACTGTAGATATTACATCCCTTTGCCTTTTAAAAATAAAGGCTTTTTTTTCTTGGACTCAAGATGGCGCAGTGAGAACAACCCAGGATTGAAGCTCTGGTGAATGCGCAGAGGGTGAGTCAGGGCCGCATTTCCAGAGGGATCTTTGTTGCCCACAGAATGGGGAAATTCCCACGTATAAAAGAGACGCGGGACGCCAGGCAGAGGTTTTGGCTGGCGCTGTAGCACAGCGGCGCTCCACAGTGCTCTGCACAAAGTGTACTGGTCCGGGTGCCCTGTTGAACTGGCAATCTGAGACGTGAGAGGGCTGAACTTGAGACTGAATGGGACTTGGACAGTGAGCCAGGCCAGGAGATTCCAGGGAAACAGTGTTTGGGGTAGCGCAGTGGGACAAACAAAACGGCGATTCCAAATGCTCCAGGTGCAAGCACAGCTGAACCCAGGATGGTGCAGCTCCATGGGGGAGGGGCGTCCGACATTACAGAGGCAATCCGCCCCTACTGAAGTACACGCCCATTGCTGATGCAGCCTGCCATTGCTGAGGCAACCCACCACAACAGAGAGACTCCACCGCAGGGTGTAGCCCGTGGCAGCAGGGTGGAGACTGCAGCAGCACAGCAGAGCCTACAGCAACAGGGCGAACCTCACACCAGCAGGGCGGAGCCTCGGCAGGCAAATAGTGACTAGACTGCCTCCTA